GTCAGGGACAAAAGATAATTTGTTAGAGGCTGGTACGCCTTTCCCACCAACTTGGTTGGACTTGGAAGGGTCCGGTAGATCTCCAGTAGGTAATGATGGCTGAGGGCCTGAATGTAGGCCGGTAGAAGTTCTAGGTTCAGTCGGCAATGAAAATGGGGAACACCTGGTAGGCCTAGTGTACCCAAGGGAGGCAGAGTACACGCAGGTAGAGACTGACCAAGAGGTACTGTAGGCCGGGCAGCCAAAGTATATCATTTGGTCTTTGCCCATTCACTCGGCAGTCATGATGCTGCTCTGCAAAGAGGGAGAAGGTGGCAGAGCTCCTGGAGGTTGACGGTGGAGCTGGAGGGTGAAGGTGAATAACTCTGGCCATGGATGTGTAGTAGGGAGAAGTCGATGTAGCTCTAGGCGATGGAGGTGAGGTTGATGGATCTCTAGCAGGGGGATGGAGCTCTAGTGAAGTTGAGGGAGGGAGGAAGTAGGTGGGAACCGACAAGACGACTCACCTTTGGCTATGGTAGACTTACATCTCAATCTTCGTGGTCGCTGCTGCATCAAGAAGGCCCTTGAAGGGATGCCAGTTCAAGATAGACTTCATCTGGAGAGGGAAGTCTTGGGTATGGAGAGGGCACAAAAGTATTTCCGTTGTCGTTTGAACGTCTGAGGTAGCCTTGGATGTTCCGCCATAGCTAATAGCCATACCAAGGTAGGAGGAAGGTGAGGGAGCTGAAGGCGAGCTCTTTTCAAGGCTAGCAGTAAGAGGAGCGATGGGACACTGATTCTGGTTCATTGAACTTCATTCATGATTCTTGTTGTTTATTATTATTATTAAGATAATGGAGCTGATGTTAGGGGAGAGATGATGGTGGAAAGAAAGGAGGGAGATGAAACCGGTTCCAGCTTGTGCTCTTCTTCTTCTTCTTCTTTCCTTCCTTCTTCTTCTTCCCTTGACTCAAGTTGACTGAGGTTCAGGGAGTTGAAACCACCAGTACACCCGAGCCTCTTTTTACTGAGGCAGATTCACCATGCGCCCCCAAGCTTCCCCCCAAACGCCAGGGCCACATTCTGTTTTCTCTTGTGGCTGACACAGCCAGCCATCTAGGTCTGGTAGCACTGTTCACCCGAACTTTTCGAATGACTCATTTTCAATTCTCCAGTTCACCTGGGCGGTGTACTGGCGGTTTAAGGAGAGCTCTTCCCAGGGTTGGAAGTAAGGGAGAGCAATTGGACATTGATTCTGGTTCATCATTCATTGTTTTATCATTATTATTACAAGTGGACCTGCCGCAGCTCAGCTATGAAATTCCCTTAGCACTTTGTGTCGCTGCAGCGAAGGACGATAACAAAAATATTTTGCGAAACACTCCAGACATCGGTTGGACCCCATTCAGGGACATTTTGACATATATCTCACCTTATGGGGGTATTTGGCAAATTTACCCCCCCCCCCCCCCACCCGCCCCCAAAAGTGGACCCCCCCCCCCCCCCCCCCCCCCCCCCCCCCCCCCCCCCCCTTATGCGACCCCGCAACCCCCCCCCCCTCCCTCGCGGCCCCCCTCCTCCAGCTCGCACGAACTCCTTCCCGTAGCACGACCTCCTCCCACCGGTGCGACCTCCTCCTCCCCCTCCTGCACGACCTCCTGCAACCTCTCGTCCCCATCACACGGCCTGCTCCTACCCCTCCCACGACTTCCTCCTCCCCTTGCACGACCCACTCCTCTCTCGGACCTCCTCCTCCCCCTTGTGCGACCTCCTCCTCCCCCTCGTGCAACCTGCTTCCCCCCCTCGTGCAACCTCCTCCCCACCCTAGCGCTACCTTCTCTTCCCCCTCACACATCGTCTTTGGACCTCCTCTTCCCCCTCGAGCGACCTCTTCTTTGCACGACCTCCTCCTGCCCCTCACGAGTCCTCTTATGATCTCCTCCCACCTCTCTTCTGACCTCCTCATTCTGCTCGCATGACCTCCTCATCCCGCTCGTGCGACCTCCTCATCCTGCTCTCGCGACCTCCTCCCACCTCTCTTCTGACCTCGTCACCCCGCTAGTGCGACCTCCTCATCCCGCTCGCGCGACCTCCTCATCCCGCTCGCACGACCTCCTGCAACCTCTTGTCCTCCTCGTGCGACCTCCTCCTCCCCCTCGTTTCGCGGCGATCTCCCTCAGCAACAGCGGGGCTTCACACTCCTCAATATCTTCTCGCTCGCTCGCCGCACCGCAATCTCCATCACCGATCATACACTTTGCTCACGACCGCTGCGCTGCTGTTGGCTCATCCTCTTCTCTCCCTCCACTGAGATGGCGTCTCGTTCAGCGCTGGCCTGCTGCATTGCAACGCGCACTGGCGCCTCCCCATGCCTGCACACACGACCCGCACGGCATGCCCCGTTCCCTTCTGCATTTGCAAGCGCTCGGTTGCCTTCTCACACGGCAGTTGCTCTTTGCACTCTCCCAGCGCGCTCGCTTGTCTTTTAGCACGGCGTTTCTTTTTTGCATCCTGCCCTGCTGCCGTTTTCCCCGGGTGGGCCCCCGCTCCGTTTTGCTGGCATGTGGTTTGCTCGATGCTTGCTTTCTGCACCCCCGTGTCGCTCTCCCCATGCGTCCTGCAGCCCCACGGTTCCCCCCGCGACTTGTCGGTCCCTCTCGATATCCTCCCAGGTGCCGCGGGCCCCTGCCTCGGTTTCTCGTGGGCCCGCGGTCGCGTGTGTTGCTGGGCCCTTTGTAACTTTTAAGAGTATAGGGAAGGGAAGATATTGGAGGTGATATTAGGGGAGAGATGATGGTGGAGAGAAAGGAAGGAGATATTGGTTCGAGCTTGTGCTTCTTCTTCTTTCCTTCATTCTTCGTCCTTGTCTCCTTGTTCGTCTATTTTGAGTTGCAATGGATGACATTCTCTCATCTTTGAATTTCCCATTATGAACTGACAAGATCATTGAAGCACTCAAAATTGCATGCACTACTGGGTCCCCTTGGCCCCCCTCCCACCCCCGTCCCCGCCCCCAGGTAGGCCGACTGTTCCAGTGCCAGAGTGTATACCAGCGCAGCCCTTGGTTGACCTTGGGAGCAGCAGTGGTGTAAAACACCCACACACAAAACCGAAAGAAAATACGCCACCCACCCAAACTTCACCAGTTGAAGCTACAGAAAGTAGAAACTTGTCCGAATAATTCCATATTCCATGAACATGTTCCGAATTATTCTCTGAACTTTCTGCATTATTCGATGAAGAGTAAGCATACCCTCAGGCCTTAGCAGACCATAGTGCATGGCGTTTTGGCCGCAAGCCACAAGAAACTAGGGGTCACACCACATTGCTCCCATGCCCATTTTACCAACTCAGCATGTCCGGGTTCACACTTAAAAGTTAAAACATAGCGACAGTGAGGCCTGCCTTAGCACAAACCAGTTCCCCAGGGTGTGAGATAGTCAGGATGCTGTGCTAAGCTTACCAGGGTCTTCGTTTTCATATTGACAACACTTCAGTCACACGATCAGAGAGATCGTATCATCATGTGGAAAACCAGGAAAAGCTGCAGGTAACATCGAAAGTCAGTACAGTTAACAACTGTCACTAGTCAAGTAACATGAAGCCACAAAGAGATATCCACATTTCTGCTCCCCACCATGCGATTGAGAACCTTACACCACACGGTTGAGAAACACAGAGATGAGAGAACAACATACCCCCCACCGCAGGGTGTCAGCCAGCCTCTTACATCACGTCAATAAAAACATTGTGAACCTCTCTCCTGCTGAGCTTCTCACTTCTCCAAAAAGTTGCCGCCATCCCCTGTGTAGCCCATCAACAAAAGGCCGGGGAGGTAATGTCTCCCGTTACCCACAGCACCTCCTTGTCACAAGCGAAGACTTAAAAAGTGTGGCAGGGATAAGAGAGAACATCGTGTTTGTGTTGTTTTATCTTCGTTTTAACATCAATCAATAGCCAGTATTCCAGTGAACTTAGTATCCAAGCCGGCTCGGTGTCAGTCGGCCTTTCAACATCAGGCCAATTAAAACATTGTGAGCTTCTTTCTGCTAATGCCCTTCCCCACAAATGTCCTTTTTACCGGAGGGCCTCCCTGCCACAAGAGAAGACTTGGAAGTGTGGCATGGGATAGGAGAGAGCATCATGTTTGTATTTCTTTTTGTCTTCGTCTAAGATCAATAGCCAGTACTCCAGTAAAGTTAGTATCCAAGCAACAGAGCCCAGAGAACCCTCATTCACAAAAAGCAGACATATACAGCAAATAGGGAGGCGAACAACATAGGGAGCCGAGACGTTTCACAAATGTGCTTCAATAGGTTACAAATTGATAATCTTAACCCTAAAATGAGAAGAACCATAGGACACGCAGGTCTTCAACACTCTGCTCCAAGCCTCCTACCATAAACACCTGCATAAAATGGCCAACGAGCGCTCCACGGCTCCTATGCTCGACTGACAAACGCCCATCAACATCTCGGAATATGCTGTACCATGTACCTACTCTTCGCAAATATTGGAATATAGAGATTCGGTTCGTATGAGATCGGATACAAAGGGTGCAGAAAAATATGGAGCCAACAAGGGCTCAAAGACTCTCCCCCAATGTTCAGCCATGAGGACACCTACATACAATGGCTAACAAGGGCTTCAAGACTTCTGTCCTCTATTAACAAAATGTCCGTCGAGACCCTGGCAGATGGTGCACTGACCGTATTTGAAAGATTGAAATAGGGATGCCGTTCCTATGAGATTGGACACAAAGGAGGTAGGAAAATTTGAAGCCTGCTAGCCTGCAAGCCGAGAGATTTGTGATGAACGTTGAGGACATGCATGTCAACACTGCATTGTTTCTTGTACAGAAATCCATGAGAAGAATTGCAAACATCACGAACTATCATTTGCTCTGCCATCTGAACCAACTTTGAGTGTGTGGTGCACATTGAACATAGCAAACAGACAACAGGTTCAGATTTGTGATGTGCAAAACACAAAACACTGAAAACAGTCCTTTCCCCATAGGATTGTGATGGCTATGAGAATCATTCACACAACCATGAACAACTTCTGGCACATCCGCGTAGCTGGTATTTTTGCACATGCAACAGGTTCAAATTCTAAGTCCTTCGCAGACTCAGTACCTCTACCTCTGCCATGCATTTGAGGGCCACGAACACGGAGGATCAGAGAAGGCCATCATGGACTCACCCGAAAGAGCGACCAAAGGAGGGCAAGCAACAAGACGGCAGAAATGCAACAATGTCACTTGTTCATAGGACACAGCCTTGCAGAGGAGGCAAAAGGATGCAACATGTCCTCCTCACACTCCCTCCTATTGCGTACCAAGCAGACTCACTAGTTTCCATGATACACACTCCTCTATCCACTGGGTCCAAGCCTCATATTCACAAACCCTGATTCAAGGAAAATCTCACAGAGACTGAACAATCTCATCATTCTCGTGTTCGCACTATAACTGCAGTTTTCAGATTGCGCATCAGAAAAGAAAGTAAATTGCGTACTTGTCATAGCCTGTGACCAAGGAACAGAATTACTCATCACATTCTGTCACACAGTATGTATATATATACTGCAAACAAATGCGAACCACCACTGCTGAACGGCAGTCTGGGTCAGAACAGAATCCAACGAGGCCGTAGCACACAATCAATTGCAGGCCTCATCAGTACCTGGAGGAAACGAACCTTTTGATACAACAAAAGAGGCATAAGAAAGAACCCTCGGCTTCATTTTAGCACAATCCACCAATTGGTCAGCAGCACTGGTCACTCACCTGCAGCAGAAGACCGAAAACCAATCCTCTGCAGAACACCCCAGCATGTAATGAATCGACGACTCCAACAGTCACTTGAAGATTCAAAGGCAAAGGAAGAATGGCTAATAGGCTATGAAGCAATATCCTATGCGACTGAGTGCAAGCCATTGACCCACTGCACATTTGGTTGGGCATGACAGAATTGAAAACGCGGGCGCTGAAGACAACATTGGAGTTATTTGCGGCAGAAAGAATGGCACATCGATGACTACAGATGTTCACATGCTGCTCCATGAGTCTATGGTTCAGGGAACTGGCTGTTCGCATTGGCAGAGCTGAGCCAGTAGCAGGAGCAGGACCATGGGTCATTGAACTGACTATTTGAACCAGCAACCAGGCACTGAGAGGGAAAGCAGGACAAGTGCTATGTCGATACAAAATTTGAATCCCAAGTAAAGCTTTGCAATGTGGACTCTTCTGCAAAGCGAAGCAATTTATTCTAACACAAATCACGGTAGCAATGACACAGTCAACACTTGTCATCTACAGGGCAGATGTTAAGTCTCAGCTGCTTTCTCAGGCCACACTAATGCCTCTCACACACCTACATCTCAGCGGCTTGGGCCTTTCCGAGCTACATACTAACCTCTTCCTCTAACCAGTACTGAGGCAGATGCATTCCAGCAGCAGTGAAGAACTATTACTGCATCCCTGCTGTCTCAGAGAGGCTTGGAACAAAGCAGCTAGAACTCTCTGTCCCATCACCGGTTTCAAATTGGCTACTTCCTCACAGAATTCTTCCACCCATTTAAAAGCTGCCTTTGACAACACCAAAGCCCCGCACATCTACATCTCCGCCCCTGCCTCTGACGATACTAGAGATTCGCGCACATGCACCTCAGATGCTGCTTCCGACTGATAGTACTACAGCCTACGGGCCCAGACGCTGCTCCAATTGTTCTAAACGCGACCAGTTCCTCGCAGAAGTCTTCTACCACCTAGATCAGTCGTCGACACAGCTGCTGCCTCTGAGCATTTCGAAGCCTTTCACATCCACAATCTCTGCCCCTGCCTCTGACCATACAAAAGTTGCTCATATATACACTGCAGCAAGTCCTCACCATAATACTAAAGCCGCTGCGACTGCGGAAACTAGGGTCACTAGTACAGACAGCTTGCTACCAACTTTGAAACTGCCCGCCTCAATGTCATGCACCAGCAAGGGGGGGACAAGTTGACTTGCAACCGTAGAAACTAGGTCACTAGTACAGACAGCTTGCTACCGACTTTGAAACTGCTCACCTCAATGTCATGCGCCAGCAAGGGGGACAAGTTGACTTGGAAGTGTAGAAACTAGGGTCACTAGTACAGACAGCTTGCTACCGACTTCGGAACTGCTCACCTCATTGTCATGCGGCAGCAGGGGGGACAAGTTGACTGTTACACTCAGAAGAATTCCGTGATCTGTGACATAACCCACTGTCAAAAGGGTGTCAGATGCAGGTGACTCGTTGGAAGGGGAAAGGACGCTGGAACGCCTTGACGTGTGCTCTCCTACCTGCTTCTTGGAAGCGGAAGTGAGGGCAAACTCACTTCCAGCAAATGCGCCTTCCCCAGATATTCCCTACATCTGCAGTACTGATTCACCCAATAAGTGTTCCACCCATTCACAATTCTACGCTGTGAACAGTCCTGTTCCCTGATCAGCCTCCTGTTCGAACGTGTGCACAGAGGTGGGGAACCATAACTTAGCCGACTGCCTCAGGAAACACGTTATGGCAGGGAAAAAAACTGATGATGAATGACCACCAAAACAAGAGCTTGAAAATCAAAAGAGGTTATTCCATGAAACACTAGTGCGGCAAAACCTACAGCAGCCTGCTCACTGCCATGATAAAGAAGGAAAGAAAGAAGGAGACTGCTACAAGGGATGTCGTCCGCTAAAATGACCAAACACAGTTGTATATTGATAGATTCTTGAACAAGAAAGCGATTACTCGAGGTTGATCTCTGAGTGAGGACGACTCCAGGTTATTTTCTGAGGGGAATTACCACTGCCAAATCTGATGCATCAGCACTTTCTGTGCCATGATCCAAAAAGCACCACGTGGCAATTGTTTTTGCTCCACCAGGGACCACCACGCCAAACAAGGCAGAAACCATTTCATACCAGGAAAACTTTTGCCAAAACAGGGGAAGACTTGCTGCTTTTCGCCTCGCAATCTGATGTCGCCCGATCCATGAGCCAGCAGTGCAGCAGCATGCCACACCATGTTTCTGTTGAAGGCACGGTGGTGTGCTAATGGTAAGAACCAAATGGATTTCGTTAAGGTTCTGCCAATATCGCACACAGCATGAACAAAGACGGAAACGAGACATGCAATAGCGGAGCCTCTGCTTCTCCAGGTTTCATCCTTTCATGTAGAAGGCTTGCCAGTCAAAAGGATGCAGAAGTACCCCGAGCAATCTATGGTTGCCACCGCTGCCTGTAGCTGCTCCCTCATGCACTCTCTAAATCTGGCCGCAATATGTATGCTATACATATAGATAAAGCGTTACAAGAGTTGGCATAACTCAAGGAATGTACAAGAAGAATGAAAGAGATAGGTGCCTACCATTGCAACAAGCTTGTACGTGATGATGGGCAATTGTTACTGATTGGATGTATGAGTCGAAAACCATGGAAGCTACTGTGAAACAGCCAAACACTTTGTGAGCTAGGGGTAGACATACTGTATATTATGATGCGACAGCTAAGACCTCAGCAGACTGTGCAAACCTGTAGGAAATGACTGCTGGAAGCAGATTTATATACTAATGCATGTGCTGTTCAGCAAGATGCTGATACGTCTCTACACACCCTAGCTCAGTCAGTCACATGACCCAGAGCATGCATCCTTGCTTCTCCTGCTACTTCCAATGGCGCTCTTCTTTGATACTGACGCGACGTACCTTGAGTCTCTCGCCTTTGTATTGGAATTGAATGCTTTCGAGTCTCTATATCCACTCAAATGGTTTGTGATGCAACTACCAATTAGCCACCTCAGTATTAGAGTTGTTGGTTTTCTGCCCTAGCGTATAGTTTCACTCTCAAGCGTTTAAGCTTCTGCAAGATTCGTTGAGATGCAACTACCAGTAAGCACGCTTGTGTATGAGTGATCACACTGTTGCACACGTGTATGGTTGATCACACAAGCCTGAGCACACAGGGGTGAGTGACTCCCGTATGTTTGTATATGTATATACATGAGGTTGCTTCATCACTGTGCTCCACATGCAATGCAGCCAATCAGCCACCGCTGAACAGTCATTGGTTTTCTTCCCCAGTATTCTTCCTTCAGACCCGCAGGGCCTGTCGAGACCATTGTCACTCTTGACCCTGCCTTGACCTCCCCACCTGTTGAGACTTGAACTACCTGCAAGGATAAGCACACAACAGAGTTGAAGAAACCACACTCAAAATGCAGATCAACAGTGTACCTGGCTCCTTGCCCTGTGGTACACAGATGTACCTGTTTGTTGTTTAGACATCAGTTAACAAACAGGTCATGCAAAGAACTCAATTCAAAATCAGCACAGACACAGTCTAGGGTCGTAGCTGTTGGTCCAAGTTCAGACACAGGGGTGAATTGTCATGTCTCTTGCTCTAGGACTGCAGAAAGTCCACGAGTTAACAGGCACTGGGTCAGGGGTCAGAAATGACAACTGGTCACCTTTCGACGCAACTGTCGACTGTTGGATTTCAAGAGTCAGGCCCAACTCGGGTAAAGCAGCCAAGAGTCATAGATTTCCAAGGAGTCGACCACGGCCACAGATCATATTTTAAAATAAAGGCTGTCCACAGAGTTACTAGAAATTTCCAAGGCCCACTGGGTCCAGGCACACCGGCGGAAAGCAAATCTGGCCCATCAAAGATGGCGAAATCTAAGCTGTTTGAGGAGACCTGAGCCAGCCTCAAGCATAAACAACTGGGCCGATCTGTCTCACGCTGCCTGCATGCAGGAGCACTGCTCCATACACAGCTGGAGGATGCAGAAGGGGAGATGCGCTGTAGAGTGCGCAAGAGAGATAGCACACGCAGACATAGGTGTAGTTAGAGGAAGGGCGCACAGCGCCATAGCTCAGCGATAGGGAGAGGTTGAGGGTGGTCAGGACCTACGAGGCAGGAGAGAAGGAGAGAGAGTGTGACGACTGAGACGTTTACCTGACTTACTTGGTGCTGCGATTGGTGAGGACACTGTGATATACATCCTGAAGACCAGCGGAATCAGTACTCTGCCTCCATAGCTGGGACAGCATGGAGTGCCACTCTGCTGGTGGGATCAGAAGTTGCTGCACAGGGACTTTTACATGTGGCATCAATTGGGGGTAGGATTGCTGAGGTGGCGACAAGAGTGGGAGTTGTCCCAAAGTGGAAAGGGGAAGGAAGAGCAGGATGATTGTAAACATTGTTTATTATTGAATCTTTCGTCCGCCTCTCCACTTCTTCCATTCCTTCACCTGTTTTCTGGTTACTCACCACTGCAATCTGACACTACTTTGTGCATTTACAGGCAACATGTGTGTGTTCTGGCATTGAGCTTGAGATCTACATGTATGTCCTGACGTCGTTGGCTTCTTGTGAGATTGGGCTCATTACATGTGGCATCAAAGCCACTACCTCATCCTCTTCTTGGTGATGTTGGTCTAGTCAGCTGTGGTAGGAGAAGTGCGGCAGGTTTATGCTGAGTTCTGTGTTGAAGAAAAACTGGTATTGCATGCTTGATTTGTTGTTTTTCTCCAACTAAGGAGTGGATGCTGCAACCGGCTGTGCAGGTATACGCACTTGGGTGGCAGTGCTACGCAGTGAGGGATTAGAAGTAGACTAGAGGGTTGCAGTAAGGTTGGAGATGACTTGTGTTTCAAACTGTGGGGGGGAGGGCCATGATGCCCAAGATTGCCATGACGCAACATTGGGGTAATAACGGGGTTCATGGGCAGGGAGGATGTAACGGAGGTTATTCCTATCGGAATAACAATTATCTCACTTATCAACATCGCAAGGACGTGGAACACATGGGTTGAATTCGAGGCTTTGTTGGGGATCTCGTAAAGCAGAAGGAGAGGAAAGAAGTCGAGAAAGAATAGGAGAAGGAGGTGGAAGAGGGAAGGTGGCGAGCTGTAGTGGATTGTGATGGAAATTGGAGAAGCCAAGATGTTGTTAGCTGTGGGAAGCCAGTTATGCCAGTTACAAGAGCTTCGCAGGCCAGATAGATTCGATCAACTCCCCACTGGCTGAGAAGACTCCTGGCACGGAGAAAGGGAAGGAACCGGCTCAACCATCACCTCCGGCTTCAACAAATCAGCAAAAAGGGAAAGCTATGGTGCACTTTTCGCCAAACTCGTCACCAACCAGTAAGGTGGACACAGGCACACGCTCAGAAAATCAGGCAGATGGAGAAGCTGCGGCGCGAGGTGGAGCAGCTTGAAGTGAACGATGGAGGAAGAAATGTCGGAAGCTGCTCCCTGCTAGGTGTACTCATGGGGGGATTGTGGACTTCCGTGTGGAGCTTAAGCGCGAACTAACCGAATTTGGCGAAGCTATGTGAAAGTGAGGGCATCAATTATGTGAACAGGAAGCAGGCAATCAAGGAGCTGACTGCATACAAGATGTACGATGCCAACAACAGCTTCAACCCCTGTACCGCAGGAAAGACCTCGAGAGAATGTGGCCCGGGGGTAGGCATTGTACATCTTATGTGCAAGTCGAAGGGTACGCACTGTACAACTTGATGATCGGGTCAAACTGAAACTCCAAGGAGATTACAAGATTGTGGGCATTGTGGGAATCCTTGGCAGCGATCAGTAAATGGGTGACTGCTGTAGAGGGAAGGAAATGTTGTGTACCAATAACCTGCACAGCCATGATGAGGCTGGTCTTGGTCGTACTCTCGATTGCTGGACAAGCTAGGTGGGCAGATAAACTTAAGCCCATGTGGATGGAGGCATCTATCAACTCGGAGCACCCATCCTCCTATGCTTACATAATGATATCACCTAAGATGAAGGCCTCTTACATTGGCCAGACCAACAGAGATCTGGACAGCAGACGGCGGGAACATATCTAAACATGCGGCAGATGGCAGCATGGGAGAACACAGCAGCTGTATCGATGGTTACAAAAAGGACTGGAATGATAACATCCTGATGCCGCTAGTCAAAGGGCAGAAGTCGGATCTGCTAGGAATCGAGAAACGACTGATTAGGACATGGCCACCTAGCCTTCACGCAGGCGCCAGGCGGCGGAAGTAGAGGAGGAAAGGGCGGAGCGAAAGGGGCACAAAGGCGACACAGGCCATCTGCAAGCGCGTTAGATTCAAAGCAGATAAGGATTGGAGCTCATTATCAGGGATTACTTGGGTTGAAGATTGAGGGCTGACTCCAAGAAGATTGGCTGAGCAGCTAAATATAGCTGCAGTTGACTGTATTTGCCTGGTTCGGACTGGTGCCGGTTGCCCGCAGTCTCTACTTTCCAAAATTGGTGTTCTGAAAGTCTCCGGACTTTCTTGGGACACTGCTGCAAATTTGGGCTTTGGGACTTGACTTCTTTGCAGGTACCGACGGACTTTTACCGGACTGCGACGTTTCGGTACCCGACTCCTACCGACCTACGACGCTTCAACCTACGGACCCTAGGACCTACCCTACCGGAACAGCCTGGGACCGTGACCAATTGGGACCTTGGAACTGGGACTTTGGGACTGATTGTGTGAAATCCTTTCACTCCCGCCGGCCTAATTTCGAGGTCCTCTGAGAAAGATTGAATCTTTACTTGTCTATAACATTGCTACCTCGCCTAGCACGCTCATAGTAGGATATGATATGAGGTGCAGTCTCCATGAGCTCATCCTTAGTGTACCAACGATCATCCTCGGGTTCCTGGTACGCGAATCTAACCTTGTACTTCTGCTGTGGTCTACCCCTTCTTCCTGTTCTGTCGACATTTCCTGTAGAATACGATCAAATATCATATCTTCCATTCATCTCAGGAGGGATGATCGATCTACGTGAAGCGAATCGATCATTAGTAACGTAAGGTAGCAATTCAGATGCGCGAAACACTGGGTACGTATGCAGATGCAGAGGGATGCTCCATGGTCCTCTATACGCAGGTAACAATTTATGAGAAATATTCTCTTCTGGAAGAAACTCTTTCGACTTAACCCAGACAAGATCAGCAACAGCAAACTTTGATGGTCTACGTTAGCTTGCTCTACCATCTGATGCTAAGCCTTCCAGATGTTGTCAGCAACTTTCTGAATCTCCTTCTCAAAGTGAACTGCAAACTCTCTAGTGCCAGGTGGCAGTCTTTGGATCTGATCGGGATTCAAGCAGTCCATCGGTCATCGTGGATGCCACCCCTTGTGCAGCTCGTTTGGTGTTCAATTTGTTGCTAGGTGCACAAATTTATTATAGGCACCAGTAGAAGCTCGTCCCAGTCTACCTGATCTGCCCTAATGTCATGCACATCACTTGCTGTAGCAGTTTATTCATCTGCTCCGTCTGTCTGTTAGTCTCATGATGTCTGCCTGATGACATAGCTAGTCTAGACCAGTAGACTTTCATTAGTGTTGCCAGTGCTCGCCGGTGAACCAGTGTCTCTCACTAACAATAGTCAAGGGGTGTTCGTACTCTGCAACCCCATCGAAGAACTTATGAATTAGTAGGTTTGTCTTTGCCTCAGCGAGCAAAGGAACGAAAACAACAAACTAACTAAATCTATCAACCATCACCATTACTCGAGCGCTACCACTTCGACTCTTGACTTTAGTGTCCATAAAGTCTATAGAAACTGAGTCTCCTTGCCGCGATGGTATAGAACTCTTGTTCCGCTGACAAACTTTGCAGTCACGGATGTACAAGGTGCAATCTTGTTTCATCCCAACCCGCGTGTAGGACCTAAGGAGGTTGGCATACGTCTCCCTCCATCCAAAGTGGCCCTCTGAATCATGACGTTCCCCTAGTATAAGGCTGCAAATTTCCTCGCTGTTCAGGACACATAATTTATCCTCCCTGTTGGTCTTCTCAAATAGGAGGCCATCAACCATGCGATAGTTAGGTTCCCGTGACGTGCAGCCTGCACCTTGCGAAAAAGTTCACGATAGACCTTATCTTTTGCATAGGCCTCCCTAATCTTCTATTGCAGTTCGGCACCTACATCTAAATAGGTGACTATTGCTCCAAAGAAATCGGCGCATCGGCTTAGTGCATCTGCACCAACATTATACTTGCCTTTGACAGGCTTGAGTTTGTAGTCGAACTCATCGATCTCGATGGCCTATCTAGCTAACTTAGTGGACATCCAAGCCTGAGTTTTCAGCCAATGAAAGGTCTCATAGTCAGAATAGACCTTGAAGTGTCGTCCCAACAAGTAGTGTCTCCAATGGGCTAAGGCTTCCCTCAGCTCATCGGAGAAGAAGATAGGTGGGGATACGCCATTTCCGACCACCGTGGTGAAACTCGAATGGAGTTATGCTGAGCGCTGAATGCAATGAAGTGTTGTAGGCCAACTTCATGTTGGGGAGGCGGTCAACCCAATCCTTTTGGTCCAGGCGGATGAGTTTACGGAGCATCATTTGAGCGGTTTGATGTGTCCACTTTGTTTGCCCATTCGTTTGAGGGTGTCGAGCCGAGCTCGGTTTCATTTCGGTTACGGACCCCTACATGGAGGGAAGTCCAAAAGGCTGACATGAACCGAGTGTCACAGTCGCTAATGTCCTCCGGAACTCAAATCCAGCCAACGTGTAAGAGGCGTGCAAGTTCTTGAGTCGTCGCATGATACTTGCATGGGAGGAATCGAGCATACTTGCTCAATCGGTCAACCACCGTCAGAATACCGTCGTTGCGTGGAAAAGGGTAGGTGACATCGATAACAATAAAGACTCCGGGCTCCTGCGGAATCAGCAACTCGCCGTTGTGACGCCCAACCTCACGCCCAACGTGACTTCCTGTTTCGGAGTGGGAGGGGGCCCGGTAATGCGTAGTAGGGGTGTGCCAAGGATTTTAGGAAAGTGCGGGAGCAGTCTAGGTCGGAACCGAGATCTCCGGTGCCAAGTTTCGAGGACAGGAAGGCAAGTGGTTCAGCGTAGGACCAAATCTTTGGTTGTGCCCTTCTCAGAGCCGAGCGGCTAGCTTCGTCGGCCTCGTCGCCTGGGGCGGGTTCGTACTCGGTGCACGAAGGGAACACAGTGGGTGTCTCTCTGTGTAAACACTTGTCGCCGACGGGTTTCGCAGATCTAAAAATTTAACGTGGACGGCCTCAGCCGGAGGCTGTGTTCTCGGCACTCAGCTTCGGAGCGGGTTCGTCGGATAAATCCCGTAGTTCGATGGGTGTAGTACTGCCAGCATTCAAAGCACAGCCTTTGGAGCCAGTAGGGGGCTATCGACTACCAAGGGACAACTACCAGAGTGTGGTAAGGAAGGAGGCGATAGAAGGGAGGGAACTCGGTGGTTATGGCGACGAATCCCGGGTTTGTGAAGGACAGGTGATCGCGCATATCGGGGCTGACTGGGATTCGGGGGTTCTGCCCTATAGCCTGCTGAAAATCCCATGCACATACCCTATCGTTCTGTTTCAAACATAAAAAGGCAGGAAGTCCCAACTTCGACTGTCGAGAAAGATGCTCGCTTTCCCAGTACTCCCGATACTCAGGGTCTCGCAGACAGTCGTGGTTGGTGATCCAAAATGGAATGCCATATCCATACCTCACGAGAAGGACTCAATTTATACATTTGTGCGTGTGCAAGGTGCGATCGGGTTGGAGGCGGATCATGCACACACGCGTATACGTGATAACTGCCTTTTCGCGGTTATTCGTATATGTGAGTGCACAAGATGTGTCTCCGGCCGAGCTGTAAGACTACCAATTATGCATGCAGCTATCCTAATCCTAGTTCATTCAGGAAGACAATACCTGCGGACTTGATACAAAATAGTCAGCCGATCAAGGCGACATGCACCAACAATACAAGCGCACAAAGAAAAGGGGAAAGGGCAATTTCTCATTCATCATCAGCATGGCGCCCAGACCATGCATACCATAATTTCCTGACTCAGCACTCAGCGACACCCATGTCTAATCATACTGTCAATTGAGTGCAACAACGGTCATACATCCAACATCAAAAGGAAAGGGATAAGGGAGAAAGAGATAATTCACGCAACAAGAGGGAAAAGAAGAAAGTCCAAGATTGTCGTAAATGGAGATGGTCACAACAGAAATCAAAATCACTTAGAGGATGCAAAGAGATAACTCCCACTTCAACACACCACTCTCTCTCTCTCTCTCTCTCTCTCTCTCTCTCTCTCTCTCTCTCTCTCTCTCTCTCTCTCTCTCTCTCTCTCTCTCTCTCTCTCTCTCTCTCTCAACGCTTCTCTGATGCGGGCAGTCCGTCGCCTCGCACCTACCAACAGTCTGAAGTTGTCACCCCGCTTAGTCCGAGCATGCAAGCCAGGCTCGCCCGTGCCACTGTCCTTCGCGGCCACACGTCAACCCCGCATACCCAGCACCAGCTCGTCGGATCGCCCAACTCCCTACTCACCATTCAGTGTTCTGCTCGTTAGCCGATCCTCTCGACCGCGCTAACCCCCAAGTTTAATTAGAGAGAGAATGAGTTGCGCTTGCAAAAATTATAGCACTTAGTACCCGCGCGAGATAACCGGGATTGCGCTAGTGGAAGAGAAGAGGAAGTGCCTACAGATGCATGGTCGGGCCGCAACGTGGGGGACGTAGCCGCTCTCGACGCATCGATCCAGTCATGCATTTGTTGGCCAATGAGATAGACAGGAAAGAGGCGTAGAGTTTCGCGCGGAAAAAGAAGAGATCAAGAAGGGAGAGGATTACAATTGCACCTGCGCTTGCCAAGAAGGAGCAAAAAGAGATTACAGTTGCGATTATAATTCAGGCGCGGTGGGAGCAGGGTGCAGGGCAGGACGCAACAATGCGTGCGTGAGTAGGGAGCCTCATGCAGTTCCAACCAAAAATTACGACGCTCCCAAATTCCTGGCCTCATTAAAAACCTAATTGCAAGAAGAAATTCCTAAAACGTGTGTAGTAGGTTCAAAATTCAAAAAGAAATTCAAAAAGATTCCCTGCACGACAATCGCGCCAAAAATTCCCTGCCCAGCTCCGTCATTAAAAAAAAAGAAAGAAGTTGCGCCAACCGTTATTTTTCGTGGTTGCTATGGCGCGTCCTACCAACGGCCATGGGCCCAACTTTCCCGAAACAACGGGGGCATTGGTGCAATTGGGCCCGGCCCCTTCTTCTCCACCCTCCCCTCAACTCCAACCCCCTCAGTACAATTGCGCAGAAGATGGCGCTCATCCTGAAAAGAGATCGTCACACCGTAAGGATTGCGATTGCGAGGTTTGTTCCGACGACAAACTTCGCAAGATTCGAAATACTCTGTGACGCCAGGGGACAGGTCGAGCCAATGGAATCACTCCCATGTCGTGCGACCGTGCAGTTCACTCCAAAATGACCCGCGAGGCATGAGTCATGGTACTCGCCAAGAAGGTGAGTCCAAAGAGGGTGATCTTGAGGCGTGCACCACAAGTCTCATCCACGTGAGTGAAGAAGCAAGTACCCGTCCACGATGCGATAATGGCTCACCGACGGGGTCTCCAAAGAGAGGACCTCGTAGAGTGACGAGTACTTGGGGTTTGACTTATAGCCTTGAATGAAATGTCGCTGCAGACTCTCGTTGAAAGCAAAGGCATGATGCGTCATCGATCAAGAGATCTGGCCGTCGTGAAAGAACATCGGCTGCGCGGTTGGAGACGCCCGAAATGTGCTTGGGTGTGAAGTCAAATTGGTCGATGAAGTATATCCATTGGCCGATCATGCTACTCACCATGTTTTACGTCTTGCAGCGGGTTGTTGTCGGTCACATGTGTGAACCTACGACGCCCGAGGAGGAAGTGCCGCCGTCTCTTATGTACCGTGACAAAGGTCAGCAACTCCTTCCTCACATCGCCAGTGGTTGATGGGGGGCACCTTTTGGCTGAAGTACTCAACCGGATGCCAATCCTCGCCGTCGTGTTGACCAAAACTGCACCGATGCCATAGTCCGAAGCATCCGTAATTACTAACCTCGGCAAGGTGGAGACATAAACCCACCTTGTGTTGTTGTCTTGAGGGTTTGAAATGCAGCACATGCTTCGTCGTTGAACTTGAATGGCACCTTTGGGGACTGAAGTCGGGTCAAAGGTGCGGCGATCCGTGCGTAGCCCGTGATGAAGCGTTGGTAGTCGCCCGCCAATCCCATGAATGATCAAACCTCTGTGGCGTTGGTGGGTTCCAGCCATACTTGGATAGCCTCAATCTTATCTGCGAGTGAACGTTTGCCTTGCGACGTCATAAAATGGCCCAAGTACTCAAGTTTTTGATGAGCGAATTTGCACTTGTCTCGATTGGCTTGGTACTTGGCAACTCGAAGCTGCTCCAAAACAATGCATAGGTGCTCCACATGCTCGTCCAAGCTTCATCTATATACCAAGATGTTGTTGAGGTAGATGAGCACGAACCGGTCCAGCATGCTACAAAACTCCGTCATCATTGCCACTTGCAAAGTGGGCCGACTATTCATAAAGCCGAAAGGCACAACGACCCACTCGAAGTGTATGTACAGCTTCTTGAACGCAGTCTTGTATCGGTCCTCCCACCAGACCTCAATTTGGTGATATCCCCATTTCATATCTAGCTTGGAGAAGTACTTGGCGTCGCCCAAACATTCGAGGAGATCGTCGATTTGCCGGAGAGGGCAGATGTTCTTCACAGTTTGCACGTTGAGCTTACAATAATCAACTCACAACCGGAAGTCCTTGTTCTTCTTCCAGGGGAAGAGAACGGGTGCACTATAGGGTGACGAGCCAAGGGTGATCCATCCCTTGGCAATATGGTCATTGAGTTGTGCGTGAAGCACCTCGAGTTCCCCCTCGCTCATGCGGTAGATACATCCAGGTGGAAGTATAGTGCCATCCTCGAGAATGATGTCATGGGCCGATCCGATACAACTCCGGCGGGAGCCCCGAAGACATCGCCATAGGCGTCAAGAAGCTCTACTTTGCGTAGTTCGTCGATGGAGCGTCCGACTGAGGGAGGGCATGAAGACTACAAATGCCCATCTCCTCAACCTCATCTCGTGCGATAGAAGCTTGAACGTCGCTGCAGACATCACAACCAATCGAAAGGTGAGGTAGGGTGATCGTGCATGAGACCAACTCACTGAATAGATCACGAACGTGAACCGTGCGACGATGGAAGTTCACCGGGTGGTCCTCACTTCACAACCATAACATGCCCAAAATCATGTCGAACTTAGTGTCCAATATGTCAAAGGGCAAGGCCTCAAGTGAGTGCAGGGCGAAGTACCGAGTCGATGCACCAATCAATTGACTTGTGCATGCAATCGTCGGCCAACGTCACTTCCGTGGGCTGCGACTTCCTCCGAACGCGCGGCTAAAAAGCTGACGTGAGAGATGAAATCATGGCTCATATAGTTGCGAGTTGCGCCACAATCAATCAAGGTGCTGCAGGTCGCTTTTCCGATTTGAATGCGGATGTATAACAATGGTTCGTCAATGACGACGAACTGTTGGGTCTTGAACTCGAGGTTAATCCTCGCAATGAAATCGCGAAGATCAACAACCGCTACTCAGGGGTCCGTCAACGGAGACGGTACTGCCGGGTGCAAGTACTCCCACAAATGTGGCATTACAATGCGGTTTCCGCAACCGCCCAGATGGGGGCAAAGGCATCCACTTGAAGTCTTCCATAGTCAAAGGTTCCAGCTCCTCAAGTCTTAACCATGACAAGGAGTCCCCGACTGAAGTCAATGGTGAATGGATCGAATCGTTTGCCGACGATGATGAAACCACACATAGGACGTATTGTTGCATGTGGAGTGGTGGGTCCAACAGGGGGACCAACTGGACAATGTAGTCCTCAAATGTGATGCGAGGACTTGCGACATCCGCGTGCTCCTTGGATGTGTAGAAAGCCACTAGCAAGGCGACCACATCCGATGGAATGGGAAGTGTAGTAGCCTCACTTCCCGCGGAGCTGATTTTCCCGAGCTAGTGCGAGGTCTAACGTCATCCTTCTCCTTATCCTGACACTGGTTGGTGTTGTGCATGGCGTTGTTGCACCAATAACAAAACCCATACTTTGTCAGCATCTTTGGGGAGGTTGAACTTCACCCATGGTGGTGGTGGCCGTTCCGATCGGTGATCCATATTTCATCCTCCCTTTTCCTCGGGACTTGGTTTTGCTTTGCGGCAGGACGATGGCCACTACATCTCCTCCACTTGATACTTGAGTGGTGGCCGGGTCTTCGACTTGTCCAACAACTTTGACTGCAGCCACGTTCTGCGCTCTTTGGCCAGTCTTGCCTTTCTCCACATAATGCGGCTGCGGCGACGATTTTTCGTTTGCTGCCGACCGATTCGTCTGGATGACCTTGTGAGCCTTGTCGATGATTGCTTCAAAGGTAAGGTAATTCGTGTGGTCACCAAGTACTTGGCTCCAGACTTCACACGCACGGTTGTAGAACTCGAGCCGAAGGTGAGAGAAGGGCATATTCAAGTTGGGTGTGGCCACAATATTCTGCCATTCGGTGATCCAATCACACGTAGGCATTTTGCCTTGAGTTATGTTGAGGGTGCGGTTGGCGCCGTGAATTGGAGCGTCGTCGACGATGAACCGTTTCTTCCATTCTGTCTTCAAGGCTTCCCACGTAACCTTGGTGTGTAGATTTGCAATGAAGACTCCTGCGGTTGTCGCGATGTGGTTCAACCATGTTTGGCATCCCCTCTTCTCCATCGTAAATGTCTGCCACCAGGGTACGAAGTCTTGCTGGTGGTAGTCGTCGAACTTCTCAATCCGAAAGGCCGGCATCTTGTACAAACGTGGCGTGGTGCCTCTGCTGCTGCTGCTTGCTGGCTGCTGCTGCAATTGGCGGATGTCGGTCTTCAACGAAATGAGCTGCTGGATGATCGTCGCAGGGGCTATGAACGTGTTGACATCACCGATCGTGGCTGCCACATGGTCAATGTGTTCCTCCAACTCACGATTGGTGGCTACGAAGGAGGCGCTGGTACCTGGTTGAGAAGCAGGTGTTCCCGGTGCGGCACCTTGCTCCAAGTCAACCATTCGTGTGTCATCGAGCTGGTCTTGAAGGGTGTGGACAGCCTTGGACAGGTTGCTGATTTCGCCCTGCTGCTGATTGCAGGTGTACATCAACCTAAGGATCATCTTGGCGACGAACTCCTTGTTCTTCTCGTCCTCTGTGGGGTTCGCCTGCTCCGTGGGGTCCACCTGCTCCGCAAAGGGCTGGAAGTGTCGGGCTGCAAGCCGTTTGGTCAACCAAGCTCCGTCCTTGCGGAGTTTGTCACATGTTTCCTCGCAGAGAGCACATGCATCCTCCTCGCTGCCACTTCTGCCGCTTCTGTTGAGCTGCAGTCTTGGCTTCCTGCCTCCGTCGGGCTTCCTCTTCCTGCTGGCGGCATTTTTGCTCAGCCTCAGCTTGCTCCATGATGGAGCGCATGTGAGCCAAGAAGTCTCCCAGTGCCTCATCCGGCTCCTGGCCAGCCATGAGTGTCGTACCGGCTGTAGAAGCCATGCTGCTGACGTGGCACTACAACTGAAGTGGGCTGCTGATGTGGCATGGATGACGTGGCACCACTCCTGGCATGTCGTTGATGTAGCACGATGATGCAGCACTGCTGCTAACATGTTGCTGACATGGCATGGATGACATGGCGCTGCTGCTGACGTGGCACTTACCAAGCCCTCAGCCCTAGATCAGAAGGAATAACAAGAGAGGGTGGGGATGGGAGAACCTTCATACAAGCTCAAGGATGTGAAACAGCATTCCCCCACCCCTGATGGGGTTCGTCAATCAGAGTCCAATCAAAGATTAAAATTGTCTCGGTACGAGTCAAGGCTAATCAAAAAATATATTTTTTTCGGTACCAGTCACAAAATTGCAAGGAAAATGAGCAATAGCGAGATGACAATGTCCAGAACGCACAATCACATTGAAGGCCAGATAGTATCACAATGTCCAGAAAGCAGAAATGCACCAATATAACACCAATGAAGAATCGTAACACTGAAAACCAATGTCAATGAGAGTTTGCTCTCGCCACCACCAACATGAGTGTCCAGGCCCTATCTCCCTACTTGGCGTTCGGCGCCCAGCCTACTTCCTATACAGCTACAGTCTGCCTACTAATTGACAATGCAACTGTTGACGTCAGCAGCCCACAAAGTACTTGAAGATGTCGCCCAATGCAGACCATCGCCCATACCAGGTATTTGCCCTCACATCATCATCATCATCATCATCCTTCTCTCTCTCCCCTGACTCACTCCCGCGTCTTCCCTCTGTACCCGAAGACCACCCCTTCGCCTCACTGTAGTCCAAGCCCATCCAGCTATGGAGGCTGGGCTATGGCGCTGCCCTCAGCAGCGCCCTGCTCCCTGCACAACCGCACGTGCTAGCACCTTGCCTCTCAGCGCCAGCAGCAGCCCACGAGTGTCCGCTCCAGCAGCGCTGCCGCCAGCATGCAAGTGCTGAATGAGGCTCCAAGCAGCGAGCTCTTTCCTATATAGAAAGAGCCTGCCTGCGTTCGCAGCCTGGCTGGCCTGGGCCTGGGCCCAGAAGCTTCCGGTAGGCCCCAGGATGCTGCGCCTCTGTTGCAGCTACTGGGCCTCATTCAGTTGGGCCTCCCAGAAAAGCCCGGAAGGACGTGGAATGAGCCTGCGATTCTTGCCTAGGGCCTGCATTTTTGGAAAAGCCCGGAAGGACGTGAAATGTCTTTGCTGTTCGGCCTGTGCTTCCCTCAACCAACTGGCGCGTCGCAACTGTCTGGACCCCAAATACGACATTGGCAGCTGAGGGCCTCTCATGATTTGTTAGGCCCGCCTTCACATAGGGCGGGCACATTTGAAGAAGGGCCTCCTTAGGCCTGCCGAGGACACATATCCTCGCATTCCCTCCTCCTTTGCTTCGATAGTCCCCTGAGAAGTCTTCTAATCTGCAGGCATCTTTCCCTTGAGTTCTCTTTCGTAGCCTGCGATAATCTGCGGTGATGTTCTCATGAGTTCTTCTCTGGTGAACAACTGATCTTCCTTGGGATCCAGATGATGTCTGAATTTTACACGATACTGCATTTTCGGCTTAGGAGGGCGGCCTCTGCCTGGTGGTCAGGGTACCGGCATCACTCGATGCTCCACGATCTGGTCGATGTCCACCTCGCCATCCATGGTTGGGGGCAGCATTGACCGTCTGGGAGCTTTGAGGTGTGAAAAACAGGGTGTGTGCGTAAGTGAGGTGGGATGTGGATTACATAGGAAGGTCCGTCTATTTGATATGTCTAGGACCTCCAAAGGACCGAAGTACTGTGGCATCAATTTGCGAGTTATGCCCAGCTCTTGACCCAGTTCAGATGATTTGATCTAGACTCTATCACCTACCTGAAAGTTAGAGGGCCGTCTATGCTTATTCTCAGATGCAATCATAGCATCCTGAGATTTCCTAATATGCTCAACGGCCTGCTGCAACATCTGCTCGTATTTGACAACAAGCTCTATGTTGCCAAGTGCTGCAGTGGGTTGTCTTTCTAGTAGCAGAAAGTCAAGTGCAGTTCTGGGCTTCCAACCAAGGTGCAGTTGGTTGGGAGTCATACCAATAGTATTGTGCACAACATTGTTGTATAGGCTGGCGACGAGAGGTAACTTCTCGTCCTAGTCATCCTGACTTGGATTAATATAATGTCGAAGCAGGTGTTGTACTACTCGGTTCATCTGTTATGCCTGGCCATTGGACTCAGGGTGGTTCCCTGACGTCATTTGTAGCTTGGTGCCCATCTGCTCAGCTGCTGACTACCACAGCTCGCTGGTAAATCTTACATCCCTATCACTCACTATCGATGTAGGGAGTCCAAAATCCCGAACCCAGTTATTCCGAAACAGTTTGATGATATAGTCCATTTTAGCAGCCTCTGGCATAGTGATAAGTCTTGCATACTTGGAAAAGTGGTCCACTATAACGAAGATATGTCTTTTGCCTGTCCTGCTGGTCACAAGAGTATCCATGAAGTCCATGGACACACTCTGACCAGGACCTTCAGGAATCGGCAAGGGCTTGAGAAGCCCCAGCGGGGCCTTAGTCCTAGGTTTGTCCCGTTGACAAACCTGGCAGGTTTCTACGTACTTCTTAGCATCCTGCATCATAGAGGGCCACCAAAATCTTTGCACTAAAATAGCTGAAGTCTTCTTATAACCAAAATGACCAGTTGCATCATGACATTCTCCTAAAAATAAACTACGCAAAGACTCTCTATTCGGAACACGGTCTTTTATTCCCTGCCTTCGCAAGAAATAGTAAGCCATCTACCATCGTAAATTCATCGGAGGCTACTTTATCCTTCGCTTGAAATCTACGAATGATCTCGGACATGATTGGATCTTGCTCATAGGCTTCCACCAAGGTCGAGTAACATCGTCAGATATACCAAACTCAGTCACTAGTGCGCCCAGATAATCTCCCCTTTGCGATAGTGCATCAACCACTTTGTTGTACTCTCCCTTGATTGGATCGAGTTGATAGTCATACATGTCTATCACTTGAATCCACCGCTTAAGTGCGTCAGAGAGTACAAGTTGTGTTTTGATCCAGCGCAAGGTCTCATGGTCAGATCTCAAGTAGAAGAATCTGCCTAGGAGGTAGTGTCTCCAATGGACCAGCGCTCTGTAATGGGCACAGAGCTCACGCTCATATGTGGACTTTGCTAGCTTTTGAGACAACATCTTCTTAGTCATATACTGGATGGGTCTCAACTTTGCCCCCTCCTTTTGCGCAAGGACCGCGCCTATGCCATATTGGCTGGCGTATGTGGTCACGACAAATGGCTTATCAAGATCCGGAAGTTTGAGGACTTCGTAGTGTGTAAGAGCATACTTCAATTTCTTGAAGCTTGCTTCACACTCTTCAGTCCACTCCCAAGGGGTGTCAAGTCGAGTTAGATCTATTAATGGGGAAGCTATAGTACTATAGTTTTTAACAAACGGACGATAGTAGCCCGTCATCCCCAAAAACGATCGGACCTCAAGAACAGTCTGAGGTGTGGGCCAGTCTCGTATGCTGGCCACTTTAGCATCGTCCGGCCTCAACCCATCTGCGGAAATTTCATGACCCAAGTACAGGATCTTCGTGTGACCGAAGTTGTTGCCTCCTTTTTAGAGGGATCGACAGCACATTGGTTAAATGGCTTAGTGCAACAACAGGGCTATGGTCAGACTTCGTACGGACTGTGTACAATAGGTGGCATGACCCGCAAGGGGCTGAGAAGGCCACAGACGCGATCAACAATCTTTGTGCCAGAAGGTACAAGAATGTCTGCGAGATCACAGACACCGTAAAACGTTTGCTCGTGGTACCTGGTGTGCGCTACGACCAGCAGGTACTCCTCACAGATTACTTAAGATGTCTACCTTCATAAGTTAAGACTAAGCTGGTGGATGAGGCCTACGTCGACCAACATAACTTCACCTCTTTCAGCAAGAAAGCCTTAGATATAGAGGCAAAGCCGGGGTCCGCGCATCAGAGTCAGGGAGATGGTAGGAAGAAGAGACTTCCCAAGACTGGAAGAAGAAAGGTCAACTCATGTTCGTCGACCATGATGGTCAAACGACTGAAATTGACGACTTCTCAGACCTTGGGGATGAGACAGAGCATGGTGGGACCAGTGAGACTCCGGATGGGGGAGTCGTGGCGCCCATCAAAGAAAAGACTAGGGGGACCGGGAAGCAGAAGGCAGGCCGGTCTACGGGTCAGGGCGACCAAGGAACACCCGTGTGGGTAAAACTTGGTTTAGATTACGAGTTGTGGAGGGACCGAGTTGCTAGGGGTACATGCATGAATTGTGGCAACCATGGCCACACGTCAAGAACGTGCCGAGGCAAGAAGGTCACCACGAGGGCAGCCTCTCCAACGGTAGTGGGCTTATCCTCGAACCCTGGCAGTGCTTCTGCAAGCACTTCGCAGGGAAACACCTCGGGCCAGTAGGAGTGTTAGCCGCTCTTACTCGCGCTTAAGTGGTAACGTTGCCTTCCCCACTTCAGGCGTTGGCCAAGGCTAGTGACCCATACATCGCCCCGCAGACACATTTAGACCCACGGACGCTCTGTTCGAGAGATGTGTCTAAGTCCCTAGAAGAGTTACAGACTGAGTGGTCAGGGAAGGACCTCAGAGACTCTTGGGCGATGATTAGTAGAGGTCCTAAGGGTGAACATTTCGTGGTAGAGGTCAATGTAGGTGGCCGCAAAGTAGGTGCCTTCGCAGACATAGGCTCTACACGAAATTTCATTAGTCGTGCTTGTGTGGACAGACTGCACTTAGGGGACCAAGTGCAGCGACTTAGCAGAACTGTAGCTTCTACGCTAGCCAACAAGCACCAAATGATAGTCAAAGACTATGTCAAGGACGTA